TAAATATATTCGAATACTTTTGTAAACTCATTTCAATGCATCTGTTTAACGAATGTTTAATAATTTCTACAGATTATGTCCGATTTGCTTCAAATTTTGCATACATTATCTCAATAGTTGCTGTGAATCACCGTATACCCCATTTTACAGATTAGTTAGAATAAATCTTTTCTATTATTAAAGTACAATTTATTAAGAAATGGTAGAGATCAAATTTTATGTGAAACGACATGATCATTAAAGAAGAGAAAGTATGAAATAGATCCTATAGTCAATTGACAGTTAAATGAGATTATGGAAGGTTCTAGGTTAGGGTTATGTGTATTAATATGATGTGATACGTCAATCGATACTTATTGTGAGATGCGTTTGTTTATGAAAAGATGAATGAGGGTGTGACATACCTTGAGAGTGTTCGATATATCTTAAATGATTGTTAATTAATCGAAGGAAATGCATATTGTTGTTTAAAAACGCGGATTATAAGTTCGACGTACYGTTCTTTTTGAAATCCAYTGTTAGACTGGGTCTCATTGTCCTCTACGAAAGTCAGTTAAAATTCTTTTATTGATTCTTGTTAATATGACTTTCCAATTAGTGTTAACGTTATACATATGTAGTTTTCGAGAAGTCATATAATCAACAATCAATAAAAGAACTTTAACAGAGGACAATGAGACAGTTTAACAGGTGATCTCRAAGAGAACGGTACGCCGAACTCATACTTCGTGCTTTTAGACGAGAGTATACATTTTTTTTCGATTAATTATCAATCATTTCAGGTATATCTAACACTCTAATATATTTTACTAATATTTTGAATTATTTAAACTAAAATAAATTTGTTTTTATGTTCCTTWCCAGTGATGACTTTGAACTGAAAATTTTCATGTAATAAAATATCAAATTGAAATTATTTAATGTTCAAAGTATTAGGTCTACCAAACAAACATTAGTTCAATTTTTCGTCACTAGGGGTAAGGCCTCATTTCCTAAAATGRAATATACAAATTGTCACCATGTTGGCAAGAGTTCAAAAGTAATTAAATTAATTAATTGTTTAATTTATGAATAATTTATTATTTTATTTTAGTTTAAAAATGGACAGAAGTTTCCTGTAAACCTATTAATAAATATGTCATTTTTAAGCAAATGTACTTTATATTATTCATATTTTTATGGATATTAAACTGATTCTGGTACTAAAATAAGAACATTGAAATAATAGTAAAAATACAGGATGATCAATTATTATTTATAAAAAAAAACAGGTATTTTTCTTGTTTTTACAGTTACATCAACATGTACGATTTTTAGATAAAGCCTTTTTCTTTAAATTAGTTTCGTATTTGTTTAATTTACTCGTTATAAGTAAATATTTCAATTTTAATTCATTAAATATATAATTAAAATATTATATGTATTTATTTCTAAATATTCTTCATTCTAAAGATAGTATATTAATAGTTTTCAAGGAAAAATCTGGTAAACGTAACTATATACAATTTTAAAGTACAATTACTGTATATATAAATCAATTGATTATTTTCTACGTGATAATACGAGTTTCACTTCTAAGTGAAGGCCACGCACATTCTTTTTTATTCAGCCATTCAATTGTATTACGGTTTCTAATTGAATCGCTCAGAAGTCAATGAGGTTTAATCCAGAAAATAAAACTTGAGAATATTTATGTTTAATGATACATTAGTTTGGAAACTTTTTCAATTTATTCATTTGATTAGTAAAGTATTCAGATATTTTTTTGTAATAGGTACCAAACAATACGTGCAAATAAAAACCTTATGATTTCAATAGTTGTATTTTATAATAATTGCAACATTACATTCAATATTTAAATTTAACATAGATATTTTTAAAAATTTGAATAATCAAACATTTGAAAATACTTTCTCGTAAACTATTGTATAATATTTGATATATATATTCCTTCCTCATATAAATTCAAATCTTTCCAAAAGCTTGCAAAATCTGACATTCGTTAGACGTCCTGTTCTCTTAAATTCAAACCACATATATATGCATTATACTGAAACGTTTACAAAGCAATATATTACGCATCAAGTAAAACATTCGGAATAAACGTAAACGATGTGTAAAGCTTCTCTTTGTTGCATAACGAATAATGAATTAACTGTATTCCCTAGTAAAATAAAATGAATTTAATCATTAAACCCATTGCATGATTTTCAACAATACTATCATTCAACTTAACAATTAACTGTTATAATATTCATTAAAATAATAAAAAGCAATGTTATTTAAATGAAACAACAACAACAACACCTACAACAAATTAGAATAAATATCTTTTTTTATATATAAAAATTCAGTGTCTCATTGATGGTTTCCAATAAACCTTAAGACTACTGAGCCGATCTTAATGAAATTTTGTTTATTTTTTGTAATTATTTTTAGATGAGTGTATAAGGTAGTTTTTATAGCGATTATTTTTTATTTTTTATTGCTAATTTAAAGATTTATTGTTAAGAGGTTATCTAGAACTCAAGATAATGTAATTTTTTAATAGATGGCACTATATTACAATTCAATTATTTAATCTTTTTTTTCAGATTTACATATGACATAACCTTACTTTTTATATTTTTCCGAGTATTATTATTTTATGTATACCATTGTAATTTTAGTATTATTTCATTATTTTGTTATTTTATTTTACTAAATAATTTGAAATTATATTAAATCAACATTTTATGACAAAGCCACAGTAACGCGTGGTCGGAACGTGCCAGTAATATAATATAATCACAATTTGATAATACGAAAAGTTTGAGAAAGAAATTTGGATGATACAAAAAAAAGAAAAAGAAAAAGAAAAAAAAAGAAATATAAGTATCGAAATAAATAAAAAGGGAAGTACTCTATCAACGTTCCGAATAATTTTGACAGTTTGGATAGAAGGTTATTGGGAGTCAAAAGCATATACACTTTACCCATACATTCACAGGGGGAATGAAAGAGAGAGAGAGAGTAGAGAGAGAGTGAGTGAGTCACATATACTAATACATTCTCTTTTCAATGGGAAATGACATTAATCATCCAGCATCCGAGCGATTCAATTCGAATAATTCGCGCGACTCACTCGAACATCCCCCTAGGAACTTGGATAGCTTCGCAGAGAACGTATGGCTCGCCCTATACACACATACATAAATACATATACACATATANTTCAGTCTTGACTTTTTAATCGAACGTTTCGTTAAATAAATAATATATTTATTTATTATTAATTATATATATATATATATATATATATATATATAATATGTAGGTTCCTTTTAAGGAACTCGCTATCGATCGTACTGAATTCCAGAACGATACCTACACCCACATGTCATATATATATATATATATATATATTGAAGAGACACATTGCAAAATCTTTTTAGGAATGTTCTTAGGAACTGTTACGATTGAATATAAGATATATAACATTTTATACATTTTTTTAATTTTATTTTTTATTTTAAATACAGGTAACCCTCCTATAACATGGTAGATAGGTTCCTAGAAAATGCTATGTTGTGTGAAACCGTGTTGTATGAGACCCAGAGCCAGTACAAAAAAAAGGGGTTACAAAAAGGGATTAGAAATACTTTCCGTAACACTGTATCTTTAAAACGGCAAGCTTCGCCGCGGCTGTAAAAGTACAGTGTTGTAGAAAGGTTTTTTGAAAGGAAACTGTATTATAGGATGCCGTGTTGTAAGAAGGTTCCCGCAATTAATGAATCGTGTTATAGCGAAAACGTTTTATAAGATGCCGTGTTGTAGGAGGGTTACCTGTATTAGATTTACCGGAAAGTTCTGTCCGTTCTAATAAACAACGGTTCAATTTTTCGTTTCTAAGGATAATACATTTTTTTTAAATGCAATATACAAATTTTCATCACATTGTGGTAAGAAGTTATAAAAAATGATGATAATTATATTATTCAATAAATATATTAGTCAATTCAAAAGATATGAAAATTTATTACATACTTATATTTTATTTTGTACTATTTATGTTGTACTCGACAATAAATGACTATTATAAAATGCGCAATAGAAATTTTTTGTAGGAAATTAACTGCTCTATAAAAATGGTGTCTTATGTTTTGGCGATTAAATTAAGCGTTCAAAATATATTCATCATCAAACTTTCATGTGTACTGATTTCTGTCTCTGAATATCTTTTGAATGCTTAATTTAATCGCCAAAACATAAGACACCATTTTTATAGAGCAGTTAATTTCCTACAAAAATTTGTATTGCGCCTCTTATAATAGTCATTTATTGTCGAGTTATAAAATTCATAAACAAAAATGAAATTTGTCTAAAAATCATCAAATTTAAATCTTCAATATCATTCAAATAGTGAGGTTTACGGAAAAAATATAAGATACCTTTTTTGTAGAACATTAAATTTCCTACAAAATTCTTTTAGAACATTTTTCTGTACGATCAATAAATAATGAGGTATGAATTTTAATCTATTGGACTGAAAAAAAAATAAAAAACTGCGATGCGGAGGATTTTCCTATTAAAATTAAGAGCTCATATTTGGTGAGAATTTTTTTAAGGTTACTAGCAACCCATTTTTTCGTGGCACTTGTAAAAAAAAAATAATTCATTTTTTTGACCCACCCTAATATATATATATATTAAATATTGATAAAATTGGAATATAAATCGTGTCTAATTGTTCTCTTAAAATTTCAATTTATTTTAACTTAATAAACTTGTATCTCTTGGGATTAAATATTCTATTACATTGTTATCGACGATCGATAAAATAGGATCCTTTATTTATCTACGTTATTACGAAATACATTGAAACAAATTATAATTGTACTATAAAAATAATTAACAAATATGTATATTTATTTATATAATTATTATTAACGTTTATTTACTTATTAATTTAAAATTATTGTTGATAATAATTGCTCATATTGTTTCCTTTTTTCTTTCAGCATTCGACTCGTCCGAGGAAAGCGATGAGAAAAAAAATGTCGATACCCTTCTCGTACTTCCTGGATCCGACATGGAAATGTTCGATAGGCCACGCATTCCAAATTTAAACCCCGATTTTAATGATTCCGATGACTCATGGCCCTTATTTAGGCCAGGTTCCTTTGGTTATCTAAGTGATTCTCTTCAACGTAAGTATTCACCACATTATTTAATTACCATTGATATGTTTTTATTAACGGGAAGTATCCTGTGATTAATACATTGATTGCCATGTAGGTCATTGGTGACCACAAATGACCATTAGTAAAAATACATAATTCATAAATCAACAAAATACACACAACTCATAATAAATAATGAAAATTTTCATGTGGTATCGTGACAGGTAAATCACGTGAAATGAAAATGGTGGTCAACGTGTTAAATAAATTGGATAAACGGTAATACTAATATATATATATATTAATTATATATATTAATATTACCAATTTACAAATTTACCAATATTAAAAATTATATTTTATTATTTATATAATAATTTATATAATTTAATTATTTATATTTATTTATATAAATATATTTTTAATTATTTATATTTATATTATTTATATATATATAATATTAATTATCATCATTATTATTAATAAACAATATTAGGTGTCTAGCAAATATTTTTAGTTACGTTCTTCTATTACTTACATAACATAACTGATAATTTCAATGAAAAAAAAAAAAAAAAAAACATGCAAAAATAAAACCCACAACTTTTGTACATTCTAATTAAATAAAACTAATTATCCCATACTACAGGTGGAAACTGTTAACACTTGATGGCTCGTTTACATCTCCATGCTCGTAATGTGAAAACTCGTTCTGATCTATCTTCCACAAATTTCCCTGAAACGTATAAAACATTTATCTTTTTCTCTCTTTTGAAGAAAATTCTCTTAAAAGACATTCGACAATATTTGTTTACGCTCACTTTAAAATCTAAAATAACATTTCAAAAGAGAAAAATGAAATTGATGGTGTCTCGTTTATGTAAAATCAATCTCAAGGTAGTTCTCAGAGTGAACGGTTAAAAATTTTCAATAAGAATATTCTTCTTCTTTTTTTTTTTATTGTAGTATTCTTAAGAATGGAATCACTGGACTAACTGGATCGGAACTCAAATCAAAGATCCTTTTTTTTTTTTTTCATAAAATATCGAAGCTCGTAACTAATCATTATTCAAATTCGTTTAACTTTGCCCGCCATTTTGGAAAGGTCATTTATATTGACCAATGGCGTAGTAGTATATCGTATTGTACAATTGGTGAGGTTAGGAAATGTGAAAAGGACACTTTAGAGAGAAAGAGGGGGAACAAAAGTTATCGGTCGAGAAATGACCAATTGGCTTTGCGGATTCCAATTTCCTGCTCGTCACAGTTCATAGCCATTATTATTCAAGGACGCAGAAAGGCACCTATCGTTCGATACTAATCGACCGATTAAATTCACCGATTAAATAATTTCTCCCTCTCTCTCTCTCTCTCTACCTCTTTCTTTTGTTTTATAACCAATAAGATTTAACAGCTCGGTCGGTAAATAAAAGCAATATCGGTATTGAATAAAGAAAAAAAAGAAATGAAATAATTGTTTCAGTCTTGACTTTTTAATCGAACGTTTCGTTAAATAAATAATATATTTATTTATTATTAATTATATATATATATATATATATATATATATATATATTTAATTAAAAAGTAAAAACTCTGAAAC